GGTTAACCTGATTCTTCTTCAGCTGACTTAGCTCACCATTGTAGCTATTCATTGTCCAATTAAAAATTTTGATATTTTCCCAGCGTTTGTCCCTTAGATGAGTGTTGTATTTTTTGGTTCTTGGCCCATTACTTCAAGCCCGATCTGTAAAGTAACAAAGTACAAGCATTTGGATATTGATCAACATATGACTGCAACAACAATCATACAAGACTCCACAAGGCGAAGGCCATAAACGTTGTAGGTTCATATATGATGTCTAAGCAAACAACAAAATTTTGTAAATAACAGCCATTTTGGGTATCTTATATATATAGGCAAAATCTAGAGAGAATTGAAAACAAAGGAACGAAGAAACTTACCTTAGAAATGTTTCCCCTCTTAAAATGGCCAACTAATCCCTATTTTGTTGCTCTAAGTTGTAGTGAAAAATGTAACACCGTCCCTTATCCATCACCTACTTGATATGTCTCTTAAGAAGCTGTACAGAATACGATCTCAAACCCAAAAATGGTATGGCTCTTTACCACAACTTCCGTACATCATATGATTGTGCACAAAAATCTAGTTCTCAAAGTAATCCAAACAAATTATAGTTCTGGATTTCCCGTGGCACAAAATTTACATCAAGAAAATGAGTTTACAACGACTTATCCAAATTTGTTGAAACAACTACAACCTTTTTATATGCTTTTTTTTTTTTTTTATATCTCATGAGGATTTGTTCAAATCTCAAAAACCGAAGAGGCAAAATAGCTTCTAAGATCCCCAAGCTAATAGGGGAAAAGAGATGAAATTACATCAACGTTCTTCTAAGCATAATTCTTCTAATACATGACCAGCTCATCCTAAGTCACCTCGTCTCCTTCAAACTGTCAACCTAAGAGTCATTTAATCAAAAATACCAATTAACATAACAATAAAGCATAATTCTCTTATTAGAGCCCAAAAAAAAAAGAGTATGTTATCTAAATGACTTATAATCAGAAACATAGTGGTAAAAGGCCAGCCCTCGCTGTATGTATATATATGGAGTTTAGGTTTTATTCTTTGTAACACACGAGTAATAAAAAACCCTATTTTCGTCTCAATCTCTTTTCTTCTTTGCTTTATCGCCTTTGATTCACAACAGAGTACTTGCAAGAGAAAGGAGATCAGATGAACCAACTATAACAAAACCAAATATAAGAGAACTGATTTCTTTTTGATCAAAAAAAAAAAAGAGAACTAATTTCTTGCAACAGCTGCGAATTTTAGCGAGATACAATTTGAAATCATACAAGATAAAAGCAACGTTCGTGGAAAATTTGCCATAGATCAAAGGACAGATGATTCTTGTGACTGACTATGTTAAAGGAAAACATACACTTGTTGGTGATGCATTAGGTGTAGAAAAACTGAGAAGCAAAGAGATGAATACTGAATCTCCAATAGTATAACAAGTATTTTACACTGGTTTACTAACACCAACCACCTATCTTACATAATTCATTGGTACGACCAAATGTCTCAGTTTTCCTTTGTCTTTCCGGTAATCATATCTATTTGCAGAAAACAGAAAAATCGACGATCAATGAAGCGATGCAAAAACCAGAAAGGTCGGTGAGGAAACAGAGTAAGAAATTACATGAATTTGGGAAGCTATAGGGATTTGTTGCTTTTTTTTAGGAGATTAGCAGCTTCCTCATACTTAGATCAAAATAAACCCCATCAACTGAGCTTCTTCTCTCTAGCAATTGACACTTGTACACTGGAGAGCAAAGATGGAGATATTGATTTTATCATCGAATTCTAGAAATGAAAAAATGAAGAGTTGTCAGTCTTAATCTGTGAAACCTAAGAGCACATATCAACCATAGACGAATGCTTAGTTTCTACATTTTCACCGTTTCTGTAGTGATTTTTCCCACCACCCTAGTTTAACATCTCATAAGGTTGCTATATATTAGGAAAATGAAAGAAACAAAGAAGAGGGAAAAATCTTACCAATGCATAAATGAATTTATTTTGTACTATTTTCTTACAAGCATTGACCTCACTGGGTCTAAGAAAAGTGAGAATTACATGTAGATCAGTACTTACAGCTTGTGATTTCGGCTCTCTTAGCATGTCGGAACCACGTTTTTTTTAATGACAGCCATGTTTTTTGAATGTGTCTCTTCTCTTGTTTTCCTTTTCTGAATCATCATATGCAAAAATTTCTTATAGCAAAAGTTTTGGTTCTTTACATATGGAACATGTATGTATTCTGCAACTCAAAGATTCTTATCAGTCTTATACAAAGATACTACATATTAACAAAGCCAGTTACTTACATCAGCTACCAAAAAACTACTAAAGAACATTGACTTATCAAAGCCAAGCAATGTCTGAAAGAGCCATAATGGTAGCAAAATCTTAGAAAAACGAGATTTAAACAAGTTATGAACTAACCCGATCACTGGAGATTCCTAAGTCAAAGATTATCAGATATGATTAAAACCTGAAGCTAGAGTGATGAATCCCATGCCGATCTCAAGAGTCCCTTGTTCAATGTCGATATCATCCGCTCCCATATTCATAGATCAAAAGTCAAAATCAAAACAACTCATTCTAGTGATTACAATTTACAACAAAAGTCCCAAACAAATCACAGTAACGATTTCCATCATCGAATCAGATACATGGACAAA